GAGGGTTTTCTTATAACATCTGTAATGTTTTCTGTACTTCTTACAACACCCCTGGCTGTTCACTTCAAAATCTGAGTGCTGTTCTCTTGCTGCTCAAGAAACTAACCTTCAGCAGTTCACATTCCACCATTTCACATTCCAGAGGCTTCTAAAAGGAACGCTGACAATGCTTCCATTAATAGCACTGGTAATGTTCCAGAGGTCCAAGGTAATTTCAACCTCAAAGTCTTTACTACTGGTAAGATTTAACCCCACGGTTACTACATAAATGTGTAAAGTAAATCTGGAGGAGAATTCATAGGAAAAGTCATGAAATTTGAGCAGTTATCCCCTTCCATGATCTGAATCAGTTTTTAATGAATCATAAGATGTGAAACACTTTGAAGAGCAGCTTTTATGCCTTCAGAAACTGTGGTCCCAGCACTCAGTGATCTAACATAAAACAGTAACTTCATAAGTTCTTCCCAGTTGCTGTATCAATGCAGACCTTATTCCATACTCCTTATCTGCATGCTTTAGAATAATAGTACTTCACAGCCTAACAAGCTTACCAAGATTATTGGGGTTTTTTTCAGACAAAAAGCTCTTCTAAATCCCAAATAATGTTACAACTATGTTTAGAAATAAACTAATTCATGTTTATCAACCTCCATTAAATCTTAACAAACCTAAAGCCTTGAACCAACTCATACCTCACAGCAAGAAATAAGAAACATTCCATTTCTGAAAAAGCAACCCTGCTCCCCAGCTAGATGGGGAGAGATGAGACACATGCCAACTGAAGAGCCTTCTTATCCTCTGATTGGAAGAATAAATACCTCCTTCAAACAAAACTAAACAATACAAATAAGGGTGGCAGAAGACCCATTTTTAGGTTTCAGTGCTGTTTCCTGCCATGCAATGCACGCTTGAGCCCATCAGTAGGATTCTTCACCTTCTGCTAACCAGCACCAACAGTCAATCCAAATCCATCAGGCAAACCATACTACAGGACAGCAAATAAAGATTACTTTTTCCAGCAACCAAAGAGCTCTCATCACTTGCTTCTGTCCTCACACTCTCTCTGTTAAGCAGAGCATGACTAAAGCTGCTGGGGCTGTTAAGGCTATTCTCATATACCAAAATTGTGAGCATAACAACATAAAAATTCTCTCATGAAACATTATTTAAATCACTCACTCAAAGGAGAAAAAAATCCACTCTTTCAAGTTATACACTGTCTTTGGCAAGGAGAAAAACAGCTAAAGGGAACAATAAAACACTTCTATGACACTATTTTTTGTATTAGATTTGTCCCTGGGCTATACAAAATGCAGCAGACATGTTGGAAGAAAAATGAGCGATTTTCCAAAAGTAGTACAAAAGATATTCTATTACACAATGATTCTTTGTACAATTTCAAAATTAACTAAAATTTCTGTAAGTGCAAAAGAGAGCTTAATAACAGCACAGACTGTCCTGCTGAGAAGTAAAAAGGGACCACATAATTGAAGCAGTCATTTATATTTGTATTAATGTACACAGATGAAGGGAAAAACTAAGTATTCTCTACATAACAATCAAGGATAGATCCTATACACAGATCTGATAAGGCCCATTTCTGCATTTAGGTCCATCAAACAACTACAGCAGAGGTCTTCCACACTCCCCCTGCCTTGCTGTACAGTTATACAGTCATTTTACTGAAATATAGAAATCAGTTTTTAGCAATAGATTACCTTTTGCTATACTGTAGCAAGCCTGAAGAATAAAAGGTGCTTGCTGTCTTCACCTCTCTAACCATTTACAAGCAATAATGACCATCTAGGAAGCCACCAGCTGTGGACATTACAGTGTTCAACTCGCTTCTTTGCTGACTCACAATTTCCATCACCATAAACACCACAGGTTTATTTTTTTCCTTTCATACCCTATTTTATTTTAGACACTTATCTATTATTGCACTAGATATAACAGATTCCTGAAGAGGATGCATTCTCATACCGCAGCATCATGAAGTTTCCATATTTCTCATGGTGTTTTCCTTCTGTTGATCCCCCACATTTATCCTTTCATTACATGGAAATTCCTCTGCTGCAATCAGGAAAGCACAAGCTGCAAACCTGCCACCCTTGCCCAATACAGCAAAGGTGTTATGGAATTCTACAGATAATGATCAGATTGGGGCCTACAAGGATACTGGAGAGAGACTCGTCATTAGGGACAGTACTGATAGGACAAGAGATAACTGGCTCAAATTTGAACAGGAGAAGTTCAGGTTAGCTATAAGGAAGAAGTTCTTTACTGTGACAGTGGTGAGGTCCTGGAATGAGTTGCACAAGGAAGCTGTGAATGCTCCATTCCTGGCAGTGGTGAAGACCAGGTTGGACAGAGTCTTGGGTGACATGGCTTAGTGTGTGGTGTCCCTGCCCATGGCAGGGGGGTTGGAACTGGATGATCTTAAAGTCCTTTCCAACCCTAACTATTCTATGATTCAACGATATTCAATAGAAGCGTTCTGTTTCCCCAACTAGATACAAAGAAAGCACAAATTGAGATAAAACCAGAACATACCAGTCACTGGCACACACTGATAAACTTTACACAGAATTGTTGTTCAGGTTTAACATTACTCATAAATGCTGAATAATCTTCCTGTTGACTAACTAAAAGCCAAGCTAAGGGCCAATGCAAAGAGTTCTCTGTATCAGCATACACTTAATCTGAAATATACACACGTTGTGCAAATCACAAAATCCCAGACTGGTTTGGGTTGGAAGGGACCTTAATGCCTTAAAGTTCCAACCCCTTGCCACAGGTAGGGACACCTTCCACTAGACCAGGTTGCTCCAAGCCGGCCCTGAACACTGCCAGGGATGGGGCAGCCACAGCTTCTCTGGGAAACCTGTGCCAGTGCCTCACCACCCTCACAGGGAAGAACTGCCTAATGCATAATCTGAATCTCCCCACTGTCACATGATCCACGTGGGCTTCCAATAAACACTCTGATTACTCAGGACTGTATTTACTATGATATTTCTTCCTGACAGCTCCTGCTTGGACAATAAATCTCAAAGCAATTTCTGAAAGAGGTAGTTATTGCAAACCAGAGCAGGATTCTACCCTTTCCCAGTAAAGGACATGTTCATACAGCACAGGACAAGACTCTATGGCTTGCTCGCCACAGCAGAGGGCACCAATTTGCATGACAAAACCCACACCAAATATGGAATTCTTAACAAAGATCCATGTTTATCACCAGCACTCAACATATGACAAAATTATATACTACCATTTTGGGTTGTGTGCAACTGAAGCACAAGTGCCAAGCAACATGGATTCTTCAAGATATAAAAAGCAAGTTAGGCGTGCCAACTTCAATTCATGCCTTTGTAAATCTGACAACATGAATCGTATCTTAAGCATAATTTTCAAAAGAATGTTAAAAAGCAAAGATGACATACAAAAGGACATGGTGCTGGTTTAGCATTAGCTAAAGCAGAACTGAAGGGGAAGTTTCATGTATCAATTTGCAGGCACCATGGGTCAGAATCCGCAGGAAGCCGAAGTATGATTCCTGCCAGAGACAGTCACGTAAGTCTACATATTCATGCTGTCTTATAAATAATAAAACCAGTTTGGGGATGAATATCTAAAATGAGTACCTATCATTGACAATAACACAGAAGTGAATAATTATAGACCTTATCTTTCATCAACTTGGAAGCTTTCAGATTCCTAATGCTTTTAAGTGACTAGGATAATTTTGTCAGTATGGCACCACATCAAACTGGGCCATCTGTTAAGAAGTATCATTAAGACATCCAGCCTCTGAGGGGCAGAGAAGCAACACTTGCTGCTTGCTTTAATAGTTACAGATGTTTCTAGAAGCTGTTGAACAAAATTAATGGGTATACTCTTAGATGCAGCACGCAGTCTCAAACGTGCTGGTTCCTGCAACGATGTGCATCTGCTTCAATTTCAAGGCCTTAGTCATTATTTAACTATGCCTATCTATTAATTCATATTTACTGGCAAAGGGATCAATTCAAAGCCCCTTCACTGGCATCCATCATGACACTGCAGGAATTACCCACAGGCAAGACAAGTGGGTGCATCACTAAAGTCTAGCACCCAAGTCCTGCTCAGAGACCAGGCTCCCCTTAAGTTCAGCTGAAGCCTCAGCACCGAGGGACACATGTGGAAGAGAGGCACAATACAGACACACACAGACAATAATCATCCCAACACCTTCCACCCAACAGCTCACTGATTACAACCCACTAAGAAGAAAGCTTGTTTCAGTTCTCCAGCCTTGAGATACCTGCATTTCCTCATTTAAGGGCATTTCCTCAACTAAGATTTTACCTACAGCTTGTTCAATCTGCTCCACCACCACACAACCAGGAATCCCCAGGGCTGAGAGGACACCAGCTAGAGTACCCTGCATCTCAACACCCCATTGGAAGGGGGAAAAATGGGATTCTTGGATCCTGGGCTATTTTTTCATGCTTATTCAGCAGTTATCCAACTTAATTCCTAAGTGAATCCTAGTGTGCTCAGATCTAAATCAACTTCAAAATATCCGTTAAACTGAAATCTTAACATTATTATTATGATTCTGAAACAGAGTTTAAAACCCCATTTCCAAAACCCTGTATATTTAGTGCAGTTGCAAGTTTAAGCAACATAAAATGCCTCTTCTTCAAACAGAACTTCTTCCTAGTGGGCATTCTTAAGAGATAATAGGCCCTTTCTCCCCTGACTCTTCCTTTCCTCCCTTTCCAAGTCTTTTCTCCCTCTTTCCCTCTCTCTAGTTCAGAGCAATTATTATTCAGCTTTTTATCTAGTAAGTCTTCTAACCAAAAGAATATCACAGACTGGTTTTACATGAAGGTAATTATAGAATCAGGTTAATAGAGGTACCAAATATCTCATATAAAAAGGAATTGTTCTTTCCAGTGTATCCCCCTGTTGAGTTAGCAATTTATGTTCCTTCCAATACACAGTCTCTGGCTTACCTCTACAAACACTGCAACACTGGTTCTCCGGAAGAACATGATCTTGTTCTGAGCAGTTCAGGGGAGGACAAGTCTCTGTTACTTTTACTAAAACTCCATTCTGAAAATAAAGAACATTTTTATAACATTACATGGATGAAAACACGTTCAATGGCAAGCATCACATATTTTTCAATCTACAACACTAGCAACCTCTAGTAACACTGGTAAACAAGAAGGCAGAAAGCTAAATTCATTCTTTCCACCACAACATCTTACTTGAAGTTATCTACTTAGATAATTCTCTGCCCAGGCTTGAAAGAAAAGGAATTAAAAGGGAGAAAAATAAAAAGCTCAAAATACTACAGTAGTTTTTCCAAATGTGTTGTCTCCGAGTACAGCTGTTTTCCTTCCAAGTATTTGAAGGAACTAAAGAACCTCACTCCAGCATTTTGTCAGTCTTCCTGCTTTAACAAGTCCAAATTTGACTCCTCTTGTTTCATATGCTACATAACTCACTGCTAAATTATTCAACTCAAACACAGCTGAGAGAAGTTCAACATTTTCATGTCAAGGATTGTTCTGTTGTATCCAATTGAAAGGATCTGGTTTTTAGAATAACCCAACACCTAATTTCCACAGTTTAGGTCCCTCAAAGGTATGGCAAAGCAGAAATCCCGTCTTGAGGTACCCAAATAGAAATTGCTGTATAAAATGGAAATCAAGGCCAACATATTTTTATTTCTGTTAGATTTAGAATAAGACTGTGCATGGGAGGTCTAGTTGCTGGTAGAGCCTTTCTGGGGAGACTGGAAACCAGAATTTCCATCTTCTTCCTAACACCATTTCTCCAGACCCAACAGCTGCTCTGCTCTTCAGTAAATTGTTTCTTAACATCTTGTCCCAAAATAGCTTTCTCTTCTCCCCAGTCTCACCTCCAGCCTTTCCCAGACCACAGTTTACTTCTCCAACATCCCTTCTGCAGCTATGCCATCACTGCAAACTGGCGAATGGAGCAGAGATTAACAACCAGGAGTTTTGCTCAGTAGGAGCTACAATAACTATCCCACAGGATTGTCCACACCAGAGTAATCTCATTTTCCAAAGGGCTGTGAAACTACACTAAGAAAGCAAGCAACCTGCTGTATTGCAAAGACACTGTTTTATTAGGAATCTAGCCCCTATTCCTCCCAAAATAGTTTTGAGGATGCCTCAGATGGAGTAACAAAAATATGGAATGAAAGTTTCTGCTTTCTTCAAAGAAACAGATTACCTTTTCTAGCTACCACGTTTGCAGAGAAAAGGTTAAAAATATGATCCAAACACATCTAGGGCTAAGAAAGCAGAGGAAAACCAATACCGAAAGAAGATAAAATATGTCATGAATGTCACCATACTCATAATCTGAGGGATTAGAGAGGTGATTTTGAACAGAGGATATTGAAAACACCCATGCATCTACCCTGATTGAAGAAACACCCCCTACATAGAGCCACCCTGCGAGCCAGAAGCAGCTTTCATATTTACAGAACACTGCATCACACCATGCCAGAGACTAGCCCGGGTGGCAGAACCAGTCCAGGTCAAACCCTTGCTGGTGATGAGCCTCCCCAGTGATGCCACACTGCTTCAGCTGTATCACTGCAGGCTCCAGAATGAGTTCTCATGGCATCAAGCCGCCCTGCACAGTTCTGAACACAGAAATACTTCCTCTACAAGGTGCAAATGTGCACAAGGTGCTTCACGGCTCACAGGACTTGCGACTGAGAATAGCAGCATACCTGGGGAATGCAAACCTGACCATTGCTACTCACTGCCACTACCACTGCTGCTCACTGCCCTGAGATTGCAATCTTAAGGCAAAGCAGTAGCAAGTAATTTTTCTCGCTGCCCAACTGTCTTTACTGGCAAGTTGCAGCAGCTGCTGTCAAGAAAAAGCATATAACAAACCCCACAGGCATCAGGTTTTCCAAAAGCAGCTCCCTACAGCATCATATCCAGCATGCATCATTGACGCAAGTGCCCACACAAGTACAGTGAAGTTAATGGAGGCATTAGGCCTCCTTCTGATCTCACTTCCATAAGTGAAAGTGAGAAACCCCTCTGGTTGCCTGTGCAACTGCAGCAGCAAAGGTGATAAAAGAACCAGACATACTGAACCATCATTTACTATCACATTATCAAACTACCAGCTGGAAAAGCTATGTCTATAACTCATTGCCTGTTCAAGCTCAGACCCACAATTGCAGAAGCAAGGGTACAGTAAGTCAACATATGGAGAAAAAGCTTTGAGTGACAACAGGTCTGGTCAGAAGGATGGCAAGAAATCATATGAAAGTCAAATCAGTGATCAGGATGAGATAAATTCAATCCAAGCTCACACCTTCTTTAGTGAATCATAAAGAGATGAATAAAAATAAAAATTAAAAAAAAAAAAAACACACAAAAAGTTCTGAATTCCCTTCATTTTAAGACAGGAAGATTTTCTTTCCCCAAGTTTCACATTTTCTGCAGAACTTGTGTCTTGGGAAAGCAAATCAAACACATTTGTATAATTAAGCTTTAAATTAAAATTAGATTAAAATGTTTCCATGTTGAGCATTCTTTGGATTCAAATCAATTTGTTCTAAGCTAGTACAGATCCAATTATAAGAATTATCATCATTACATTTCAGATTTTATCCACTGAGATAAGTATGAAGAGTTCACACTTCAGCATTATTGCTTCAGGCAGCCTTAGAAAAATTACTAACTTTTTATACACATTCACTTCTGTAGTCATAGAATCTGGACAGAAATAGATGTCAGACACATTCTTCTGAAACAAATAGGTCAAGCTCCAACTGTGACATCCAGTCCACAAAGAATGCGGTCTGGATTCAAACATTTACAACAAGGCAATTCCACTTCTTGTCGTTACACAGGTAAGTACGTTAAAAAGAATTGGCTATCAGTCTAATTAGAGGCATACAGTGTAAATCTAAACCACAAACAGCTCAGCTCAGATGATGAGCTCTGGAAAATAATAGCAAGGTTTTAGATAACGTTATTTAGGAACTCTTGTTGTTGTTTGGGGTTCCCCTCACACACACCCCCTTGTTTTAACTGCTATTGATCAGCCTTTCAGGAGAACGTTCCAGATAGTGTCCTCAGCTGTCACTCTGGGAACAACATTTTTCCTTACCTTTATAAGGAAAAACTTTTTAGTCCAGGTTCCTGAAAGCCACTGGAGCCCTGACTAGCTGGGAATGGCTGTTCATTAGTAATATCTGTGCTTATGGTAAGAGGCTGTGCCTAATTAATACATTTTTAGTCCTGATTAGTTTTCAGAAATTAAAAAAAAGAAAAAAACCTGCTCACAACCTGATAAAGAAAATCTGGGATCTATCTGGATCTATCAATACCATTAATGGTATTTTTGTTAAATGGAAAAAATATAAAAGTTAAAAGCCTCTTAAGCTTGGATCAGGGCCTGTGCAAATAATAACTTATCCATCTACAAATAAAGACTGAAATGTGAAATTTCAACTTGACTTTTTGATATTATCCCACCTACAAATACATCCTCCTTTACAGACAGAAGTGCTACTCCCTGAGACTTTTAAGTCACCTCTATGAACACAAATAAATTGACAGTTGATGTGTACCCTCTATTGGTGAGGCAGTTGGGATTGTCAGCCAAGGGGGATTTACAAGACCACATCTGACCACAGATAAGATTTGACCAGGGTGTAAGTGGAGCCCCACTGGAGAGCCACTTTGAGCTGGTCCTCCTCAGAACAGCAGGTCTGCAGTCAGGGACTCTCCCTTTGTGTCAGGACCCTGCCCAAGGAAACTCCTCAAAGTTCAGAGTCCTCCCTTCATGAGGTGAGTGATTGTGCATTTGGGACCACTGGCCATAAACTTGAAGAATTGATTCTTGAATCAGTAGTGTAGTGACAAACACATGTGACATCCCAAATCTGTAGCTGATGTTGATGGAGCTTTAATTGAGCTTAAACAATAAATTTCATTTGATCTCAATTTCTTGGTTCCATGACAGCACCCACTTAAAAACTCTGAGTCGTAATGACAAGCTTTGCCAGTGAGGTTTAATGGTTTCTTTGAACACAGCTCTGAAAATACCAGGTTGGGTTTTTTCCCTTTTCTTTTTTTGAGGCATAAGCTCATGTTTTTCATGGTGTCGCATCCATAGGTGCTGTTTCATTTTATGAAGTCTCCATTAAGATGTAACTAATACAAACAGCAATGTTGCTGCAATTAGCGTTGGCATATCAATTTCCTTTAACAAGCAAAATGCACAAGTTCTTTCACTGTTACTTTAGTACTTTCTAATATGACAGATATTTGATGGTGAGTATTCATGAATTTATTAGCATACTCACAATGAAAAATATAACACTTTCATTTAGAGCACAGGGAAGTTCCACAGATAACAGTCAGATCACTCTGGTTTCACTTTAATGTGAAAATCCTCTTCATCTTATTTTATATAGGGATATTCCCTGCCAAATAAACACTCTATGTCTTAGTATAAGTAACAGGCATCTTAGTCTCTCTTCAAGGCAATGACCTTGCCCACGTATTTGTATATACAATGTTGAGCACTCCTATACAGCTAAACACTAACAGCAGCAAAATGATTCTGCATAACAGGCTGCTTTCACATCTGCAACCAGTTATTGTCCATTTCCATTAGCAAACATGAAATTGCTACTCTGTAAACTCAGCTACAAACACAACAATAACCAGGTCACTGTAATCTTTGTCAGTGCTCTGATATTCACTAACACTCCCTGAATGCTCCTATCTAATACAGTCTCCATTTACTTGGGTTCTAAATACTGGCTGTAGTTGTCTAAGTGTTACAAACTTGCCAAGGCAGGCCCCGTTTGAGTCCCACACTTAAGTGATTTACCTCTGTTACTAGCAGGGTTACACACAGTTTAAATCCTAAGGGAAATATGGAGTAACTTGAATAATATAAGCCAGGTTGCTTCAAATTTTAGCAATTTTGTTGAAAATCAGTAACTGCTTCAAGATGCTGCTGCCTTTTTCTAGGGTTCATGAAAGTGGGGATCAAAGAGAAAACATCTTTCCAAGTCATCTTGTCCATGTTTTTATTACCATGCAAGGATCATATCGTTGCCTTGTCTCTGTACTTGTGGCTTTCACTGACTTCAAGGTCACCTTTTCAAGACAACAGATGTCACATTTGCGGAACGAAGCCTGAAGAAATGCACTAACTTATTGTCACTTCTGAACAGTACATACACATTCAAAATTAGGGAAAGTATATAGAACCAAAACTTACTCGACATTCCCTGCAGCTCTTGTTTAACACTCGTTGACCTTCTGCCAGCACTTTGCCTCCATAGATACACTTGGCTGTAATTGGAGAGAAAAAGGAGGGAGATTAAAAATAAATAAAGCTGAAAACAAATCACAACCACAGAATGGTGACAAAGTCAAAATGAGCCTGAAAGCTCATACAGTTCCAACCCCCTGCCACAGCAGCGACAGCTTTCACTAGACCAGGTTGAGACCAGGTTGCTCCAAGCCTCATCCAAGCTGGCCTTGAACACTGTCAGGCATGGGTCATCCTTGGAATTCAACAAAGCTTTTAAAGTTTCGCGAGACAAGGCATAGGCACAGTGAAAGTGGAAGTACTGAAAGCACTCAGTTATCCAAAACAGTCCCAGACTACCTAATAACTTTTTCACTTCAATTTCTTTCCTAAACACCAAGGGAAGGGAACCAAGCACTTATAGGTGCATGTGTGTCCCTTTATAGGCGATACCAAAAGGAGTCTTACTGTCACAGCCAGTTTGATTCCCAAATTTTAAACATAAAGGACTGCTAGATCAGTCTTCAGAAACCTTCAGACATAAATTTGCTTCTAAGGACTTACTTTTAGTTTCAACTTACACTCTTGAAAATACTTATTGCTTTAAGAAGAGATAAAAAAAAAACCCAAACCATGAGAGGACAAGGTTTTCAGGAGAACAGAGTTTTCATCCTCAACCCAATTTTCATCATGTATTTAAAAAACAGGCTTTTTGCTTTTGGCATCCTTATTTTCCTAAAGCTGACCTAGTTTTTATGCCTGACTTGTGATCTCACCTATAAGGAAAACTTCAGATCAGGAAGCTTTGTTTAAATTAGAAAACTCAGTAACTATTTTTGGGAGAAGATGAGTAAGAGAATTTTCCTTTTTCTTCCTGCTTATTCTCCTAATATCACTGCTTTTAACAAAAGAATGGATGCACCAGACAGCAAGTTAATGCACAACTCAGAAAAATGATAAGATTTCAAACAAAATCATAGTCTTTTGTCAAATATTAGTTGAAAGGCTACACAAGATGTCAGGGATCAAAACAGAACCGCCTCATTTTTAAAACCCTTAACATGTCAGATATTAGAGCTACTCTGTTCGTTAACCCTCAGCTAAGACGGGAACCCGCTCAAGAATCCAGCCATTCACTAATCCCTAGAGACAGCAAATTACAGCTGATGATTCTATCAGAGCTAAATAGGAAAAGCACAGAGAAATTAACACCTGCTGTGCAGCTCTTCAGAAAGCTTCAGCAATTACTACTAGCTACCCAAAAGTGACTGACTCTAGCCTCAGCACATCATTCTGTCAAGAAGCTGGCATTTACAATCAATTTCAATCAACTCCCATACATCTCTTCCCATTGACTGACATGCTGAGTTCTCGTCAGAATAACAACTCAAGTTTGTGCCAATCACTGACAAAAGGCAAGTTTGATTGTTCATCTTCCCATTACAAATCACAGGAGCACAGTTTACTCACAGGGATATATGTTGAATCTACACGTTTGTGCCTTATGACTCCTTGGTGTCAGATTTTGACTGTTGTGCAGGCATGCATGTCAGCAAAGGAGTGGCAAGAGAAGCATTCAGATTCATGAAAGAACTTCCTAGATTCTCAGCATTACAAATACAAATATTCTGAGACAAAACCCACAGGCCAGCATGGCCACTTCACCATCCCAGCACTCTGCTCATAAACACGTTTAGTAAGCAAAGCACTCATGCTAACACATAGCTGAGAGAAAGGCCATTACACGAGTAAACAAGGGCAAGTGCAAGATCACAGCTAAAGGACATTTGTGTATGGGACTAATGAATTCCGTGACTGAAAAAGGGTGACAGAATGCTAAAAAAAAGTGTTACTATTTTTCTAATAGATCTTAAAATAATTCAACATCTCGGTCTTAATGAACTATTAAAACATTCATGCATGAAGTTTATTACTTTCCAAGAACCGGGGGGGGTGGGATATACATATATGTGTTTATATACAAACACATTATTTGTGCTTATGGTAAGACTGGCATCAGTATTCAGCTGAAATTTCCATAGATAAATTGTCTTTGCCCCATGTACTACTGTTAAGGCAACAAATACCGAATATTACTTCCAGAACGTTACTTACAGGTTTCATTTCCAGGAGAGGGGACTGAAAGCTGCCAATAACACTGATCTTAAAATCTACTTTTCTTTTTTTTTTTTCTTCTCATGAATTTATTCTGAAGTTCAACACAGCAAACTAACACTCCACGCAATGATACTAACCCACGGTCTGAAGTTATTATGTTTATTTTAGACAACAACCTTCCAACCCGAAATAAAAGACAGGCACAAAGATAACAGCTCAGTTTCCTACTCATCGCTACAGCAAGTTCAGACCATAGGCTTGATGCTCCGCAACATCAGCAAGAGATACAAGCTGAAGCCAGTAAAAGGCTTTGCAGCCCCAAGCAAACAGATTGATAACTTTACACTGACAATAGATAAAACGACAAGCTCAAAAATTCGCTTCTTCATTTCACAGCAATTATTTATTTCCTTCTTAAATCAGGTTTTCCACTGTGACTCGTGGTACCTGAATTACCAAGACCTGTGAAAGTCATAAAATGTGCCTGCTTTCAGGACAAGCTTCACTGCTTAAATAGAAACTCAAAGGTCTGTGTGATGTACTTACCCTTGCACACTTTGCAGCACTGGCTTTCCACATGCACTGGGAGAGCATCAGGAGGACAATCCAGAGGGGGACAGGACATCCTGCGGCACTCCACAGTTCCACTCTAAGGAAAGGGGTTTAAGACAAAATTCAAATACAACAGTTGCAATTAGCAAGCATTTTATACAAAACATAACAGACCAAAAACTATGAAATGAAAACAGCCTTTGTGGAATAGAGTCAGCCTTCAGTAACAAATGTCAATCTGTCCAGCTACACAGTTGGAAAAAAACCATCTGAAGGTGAACCACCCCATTATTATTGGTTTTACCCCACTTGCCCTGAGGAGCAAAGCACTTTAAGTGGAAAACATAAGCCCATCTTGACAAGAACATAAGCACCACTTTCTGCAGGCAGTGCCAATCATCTCGGAGATTCTTAACAACCAGTTTTTCTATTTTCCTGAGCAAACAAAGACTCTCTTCAGATATTTATCAAATCGTTTTAATGAGACAAGATTTACATGCTAATTCTCTTCTGTTCCTCGGGTTTTCAGTGATCAACACCAAAAACAGAATCTGCAAATTGTTACCATGCAAGGTGCAACTAAGCAGCTATGAATACTATTAAGATAATGCTTCCTTTCTGAAAAAACTACTGCAGTGACAACAATTCCAAACCAAACACAGACAAGGCCAGGCTTTCACCCCGAAACCAAAAAAGTCCTCACAGATATAACAAGAGCAAATATGAAAGCACTGTCAAGGGAAAGCAGATTTTATTTCTGAAGCTGCCACATGGGCGGTGTCAGGTATTTATTGATTTATGTCACCATTTCCCTCCCTATTGTTCACACTGCCTCTGGATGCATACTAAAACCAGAATAATTCTCATTTACCATTATGTATTCAAAGACCATTTCCATGTTTTAATTAGGTCCTACTCCTTCAATTCATTAGGAATTCTTACTTTGCATGTGCAATTCCTGCAGTGATCATCTTCAACCCATGAGTCTTTGTCTCTATAGATCAATCCATTTACTTGACAAGTCTTCTCACAATGACAGTCTTCCAATTGACTCAGTCTTGTTTCTGCATAATTTAACTATAAATGAAAGAAACTTGATGAGACTTCTGCAATCCAGGCACATGATTTAGAAAAGCAAATATGAGAAAGCAGTTTACTTATTTTTAGCCAAACCACATCTGAAGGCAGTCTTCTAAACACTGAAGCAGGATGCCATCAGGTATCAACTAACCCCACTCCTTGGATTTGAATGGAGTTATCCATGCTGACACCCCTTTATGACTCATGCAGCTGTCTTTTCTGCTGTAACAAACCACACTAAGACGCCCTCAGGAATGCCCAAGCACCACCAAAAGTACATAAACTACAATTGTGGGTTGGTTTTGTTTGTTGTTTGTTGTTTTTATTTTAATCTGAATTGCTTATCAAACTGATCACTTATCAGAAAGCACAAAGACTGGCAGAAGGACTTGTCCTAATCACCCAACCTCATCACTGTTAAGCAGCAGCCAGACTACTTACTTTCTGACTTTTAGAAAGGTCTTAACCATGTAATAGCCAGAGAGTTTTCAAGGGGAAAGCAAATGTAGTACAAAATATTCCCAGAGTGCGATGAATGGAGAGGCCATGCTCCTGGAGTAAACCCTGGGCTGGTGAGTAGCTCTTGCCATGCCTTGCTGTTCCCGTCACCTCCTCAATGCCAGCTATTAAAATGTGTATGAAGAAGCTCAAACTGATGCACCTCATCATGGCAGCCTTCCAATACCTGAAGGGGCCAGCAAGAAATCTGGAGAGGGATGTTTTACAAGGGCATATAAAGGACAAAGAGTAATAGCTTTAAACTGAAGAGGGGGGATTTAGATTAGACATTGGGAAGAAGTCATTTCCTGCGAGGGTGGTGAGGCACTGGCACAGGTTGCCCAGAGAAGCTGTGGCTGCCCCATCCCTGGCAGTGCTCAAGGACAGGTTGGACGGGGCTTGGAGCAACCTGGTCTAGTGGAAGGTGTCCCTGCCTGTGGCAGGGGGTTGGAACTGGATGAGCTTTAAGGTGCTTTCCAACCCAAACCAGTCTGGGATTGATGAACTTTTACAAGTGTTAACAACTGCACACTAGCAATTTCTTTGTTTACTGATGAGATACTATGCAATACTGAGAAGGGACAATGCTCATTCCTGTCTGAGCATAAAAGAACAAGGCTTTCTGAACCACCCTCTCCTAAGCCCTATCCCAGCCCCAGACCTCCCGTTCATAAAGATACCACCTCACCATCCTCCAAAGAGGAACACCCCTGTCTATGCACACCTTGTTCCCAGTGCCATCATCTCTTATCCCTCAAAGAAAGGGATAAGAAAACACAGAATAACTGCAAAATTACTTTCCTACTTACTAATGCTAAAAATAATAAATACATAAATACAGACTTCATACTTTACAGTAATTATGTGCCTTCTACATGCCCCAGAACTGCCACTGCTCTAAAAATTACCCTGGTGACAGCAGGATAAGAGTTTCTCAAGGTCTTGATTTTTTACCTTCACATTTTTGTTATGTTTATAAGTCATTAAATAGCAAGGCTACCTAAGTCTGGCAGAAGACAAGATGAACGCATACTCTATCCTGCTGTAAGTATGATGCTATTATCCTACATTATAGGTTGATACATTTAAATAGCATCAAATTTTATTAAACAAGGAACGTACAGTGCTTTTTTTTACATAACGCCATATACCTGAATTTCATGAATTTCCGTCCTCTAAAAACCCATCCACTTTAAATGAAAGTATTCTAACAAGTCCTTTTTCATTTCTGCTAGTCAAACACCGACTTATTTAGGGGAAAGAAAAAGAAAATATATTTATTTGCAGTCCTTATGAGAGAAAGCCCTGAATAAAAGCTCTTTATTTCTTAAGTTATTACTCTGGGATAACAGGGGATTGATCCTCAGTAAACCCAGACTCAGTATCATCCAGTTACTTCAAAACTGCTTTTTGCATTTTAGAGGCAAAACTATCCTCTTACTGGGCTTCTTTTTTCCAGTAGGAACCCTTCTCAGGTCACTGCATTTGCAGAATTTAAAAAACACTCAGTTTTGCTAGAGATGTTTGATTTGTCTTACACTATTTACGCATCTTGTACTTTATTTTCTTAAATGAACATTCCAGTATAAGTGTACAAATTTTAGAAAGGACTCTAGAATTTCAGATTTGAAAGTGACACTTGTCCTAGAAATTATTCCCTAGAAATAGAAGAAAACCCTAACAAAATCAGTATTTTCAATTGTTTTACTTTTTTTGTCATTTACATTATCTTGATAAGTTTTACATACTTGAAAACCATTTACCTCCTCATCTAAGAAATATCTTTAAACATAGCATATCCATCAAACAGATCAGGAGAAGGCATGCACCAAGAAACCCTCTGACACACAGAGATTAATGCATGTGTCACAGCACACAGAACCTGTTCAGAAACATTTAACTGTTACCTGCTCTATTCAAGCGACCAGAAATATTCTCTTTGCTTCTAGACTTCAAGCCTTACTTGAAAAGCTTCTATTGAGCTCAATAAAACAATGAATTCTTTTAAACTAGCTGAAATATCCTTCCAAATATTGCCCAGTACTCCTTGCTTTCCCATATATCACTCCCATATGATACACCTACATCTATATTAGTACCATTTGGGGTTAGAACTGACAAAGCAGACACAAACCTTCACAATTCCTTCACATCTCTCCATTTTTCATTTGCATTTGTCTAACAACTCAATTTCCTGCTACATGCACTTTCCCTGGACAACACTAATTCTGAAACAACCACAATGGAAGAGTAGTGGACTGCTATAAGTGTAAAGGAACTCACAATGAAGGATGGTCCCAACACCATTTCATGGAAGCACAGTCTTTGTAGTACAAAATACTGTGTTATTTGCTTTTCCCCTGTAAAGTACTAGCAAGCAAAAATATAATCAGCAGCAAGGAAAGCAAATTACTCAGTACAGGGCATAATTGGAACTTGCTCATGCCACCAACAGGGCTCGAAATAATTGCCTCTCTTTCACAGTACCAGCAGCAAACTTAACTAAAAGCTTCATGTCTCGCATTCGGAGTCAGCCTGTCCAGAGCCTATCAGGGAGTAAGTGTGTTGTCAGGATAATGTGCAGACTCTCTACAAACAAAGTTCTCGCTTTCTTATTAGGAAGGGAAAGAACACTTAAAGGCAGCACAGTAAAGCATAATGCTTTTACTCTAGTAGCACTGTTATGAAATCCTGGTTTTGAAATCCCTGTTTGGTACCTACACTGGGATCTACAGGCTTTTTGTAGCTGCACTTAAATCCATAAGTAATTAATGCATAAGTGCTGCATAAGACAATTCACTGTCCTTTACCAGATGGCTCACCAACATTAACCTGAAGAATTGTTCACAGACTGCCCTTTAACACACATCAGGGGTACAGTCACCTCTAAAAAACAGCTTCCTACCCCAAAACTCCACCACAGCCTTAACTGAAGGTCCCTGAGGGCCCTGGCTAGCACAGAGGTTGACTGTGTGTTGCAGGAGCGGAGCCTAAGGAAAATCTCCAAAATAAAAAGAAAAAAAAAAAAAAACCCAAAAATAAAACCACACACCAAACAGTTCAGCCTATTCACAATCCAAAAACAAAATAAAGAACAAATTAATTACAAATAATATAAACCACCAGCAAGCACAAACCACCACCTGGAGCTGGGTTAACTTCAACACTGGTAAAAAACAATGACCAAAGGTGATGCCAAGGTCACAGAGCCAACAGCTTCACAGGCATTTCCATTTTGGGCTCCCACTGCAATTCCAAGGAAGGAGACTACGCCAGTCCTGAAGACTGCATAGGGCTTCCCACAAGCAAATACACACCCTCTGACAGCATCACATGGTGAGGGAATTGTATAGGGATTTCACTCCTTTGCTTCTACATTTATCCCTCAGCGTGAAAAGGAAAATCATGCTAAGGCTTCTTACAAACGAATCAGACTCTGGGTATTTTGTCACTATCCTACACATAAGACAGACAATAGAAAATGTATAAGGCTTAACTGACATCCCTGAAGCTATATCCATAAATCCATTGCAGATACGGCTACTGACAGAGGGAGGGGAAAAAAAGGCTCTACCATGAAAATGCAGAATAACTGCAAAAAGAATAAATCCTTTCATGTTGGTCTTGGCACAGAATGAAATGGGCAATCAACAAAGAAGCTCAGGTACCTACTTTTGCAGTCATTTTTGCCAGGAGTTCTTGCAAATCCATGATTCCTTGCACCAGACTTAAGAAATCGCTGCAGGTCGGGCATGCTCAATAAAGTAAGAGTAAAAGGAAATGGAAAGGAAGAGAAGGAAAAAACACAATAACCCATAAATAACCAACAGTAAATTGAACTTATTTGAACATAAAATGCAATCTGTTTACACAGAATATTTGCCTTCTGGAAGCCAGCACATGCAAAAATGACAAGCCTGAAACTATTCTTTTTAAAACGAAGAAGGAATTTGTATGAAAAATCTGAAATAGAGAGAATAAAGAAATTGCTACTTACTGCGATTCAGATTGGGACACTGTGTTATATAGCCATTAGGCATAAAGACGACTTTCACATCTTGAATAACACCCTTTGTAAAAGAAGAGAAAACTGGTAATACAGATTACAAGCATTCACCACCTAGATCTGTACAAGCTATTGCACAAGTCATTTCTTAAATTGAAACAAAAAACCTGATCAACTCTTTCTTCTCATGTGGAAAATAACTGAAGATGGATAAAATATAACAACTCCTCCCATTTTCCTGTGTGCTTGGATATTAATTTTCATAAAACACAGAAGTAATACTGCTTTGTCTTTTGCAATCACCAAATATAAGCTGCTTAAATGTCTTAAAATGGGGTGAGACTGATGAAAAAGCAGGGAAATAATACGCATTATTCAAGCCTATGACACACTTCTCAAAAAGACAAGAGGAAAACACAGCAATACTCCTCAGTCATTTACGGAAATAAGACTGTGAAAACAAATATTGTGAAAAGATAAGGATATGGTGCAAGGGGTAGGTAAGAGTGCACACTTGAGATGTTTTGTTTAGTTTAGCCTACTAGCTTTGTAGCTCAACAGGCAGCTCATGTAACCGTGCCATCAGTTAGAATTAAATCCTTCCTCTAAGCCAGGCAGATGGAAAGATGCCCTATGCAGGGCTAGCAGAAATCAGGCCTCCAAGGTCAAAGCCAGCTACTGCAGGTTGTATGAGGCCTGAAACTGAACCAGGCAGGAGAGGAGGGAGGAATCAAGAGAATCAACCAGGTTGGAAAAGTCCAACCATTCCCCCAGCACTGCCAAGGCCACTAGTAAACCACATCACTAAGGGCCTCGTCTACATGATTTGTGAACACTTCCAGGGACGATGACTCCAACACTGCCCTGGGCAGCCTGTTCCAATGCCTGACCATCCTCTATGTGAAAGAATTGCTCCTAATATCCTGTTTAAAGCTCCCCTGGTGCAGCTTGAGGCCATTTCCTCTTGTCCTACTTGTTACTTGGGAAAAGAGATCAACCTCACTATAATCTCCTTTCAGGTAGTTGTACAGGTTACCCCTGAGCCTTCTCTTCTCCAGACTAAACCCCCCCAGTTCCCTCAGCCATCCCTCATCACACATGTGCTCCAGCCCCTTCATCAGCTCTGTTGCCCTTTTCTGGACCTGCTCCAGCACCTCAATGTCTCCCCTGTAGTGCGGGCCCCAGAACTGAACTCAGGATTCAAGGTGCAGCCTCATCAGTGACCAGTACAGGGGGACAATCACTGCCCTGGTCCCACTGGCCACACTATTGTTGCTGCAGGCCAGGATGCTGTTCGCTTCTTGGCTGCCTGGGCACAAGGTGAATCACGTTCGACTCCATCAATCAGCACCACCAGGTCCTTTTCATTGAGCAGCTTTCAAGGAAGGACCAGAAAGCTCAGTACAGCTGCATCCTCTTTTGTCCCTGACTTGCAAGGATATTCCTGATGAAAGCAGCAGACACGAAGGGTTGCCCAGTGTCCCTACATACCTGGGTCCTGAAGAACCCTTGTCCTTCAAAATAGCCTTGAAAACACTAAGGCTTGTGTTTGCTCTGTTAAGTTCAGTACAAAGCTCTTGCTCCATCTCTGACTGTGCAACAGACTTAATCCACGTGATCCAGTAGCTTTAATAATGTCATGGTCACTAAGGGAGAGGAGCAAGGGAAACCAAGGGACTTCCAGTGCTGCTACTTGCACTCGCCCTGACTATTAAATCAGATGCTGTGACACAGCTCTATCTCTTCCCAGACACAGAAGAATTTAATTAATTTGAAAGGAAATTCATCATCGTGGCAGTTATTAAATTAGTGCTTTGTAAGAGTATCTTCTAGTTTTCAGTTAAATTGCAATAGAGTGAATTTTGCACACTGAGGACATAGTCATTTGCTCAAAACTCCATCCGTAAATAAAATACAGGTTCATACAGCCCTTGAAGCCTGGCAAGTACAGTAACATTCAACGCTGGCATGGCTCACTTGCTAAAGGAGCAGAAGGTAATCAGTAAGCACTCTTTCCTGCTTACTGTTTCATGATGAAGTACTATCTGAAAATATTAACAGACATAACCAGATCACATTGTCTTTCTTGCACAAGTATGTACATTTATTAACCTTTTCATCTACAACAATAACGAAACCGTCATAATAATGAGAACTAATCCTGTCAGTGGCAATAGGACATCCTGAAAGCCATTTCTCATCCTTTCTGCCAGCAGCCATCACCTAGAAATTTGAAGGTGAGACATACAAATATAGTTCCATGGTGAAGCCTCTCGAGTGAAAAGCTCAACCAAGAGTAAATGAGATGACAAAGTTCAGCAGACCACATCACTCAGCTACAAGACATCATCCAGAAATAAATGTTGTCCTCAGCCTGATTTTTAACAGTGCCTGTTGAACCTCAAATATGTTTGCTGTCTTTGAGCCTCACCACTCAACTGTCTTTTAGACAGATTTGCATTTAAATACCACCTGAAGAGGAAACACAACTATTTTTTGTGCCTTAATTTCTGGCTACATGAAAGCATGTTACCATGGAAAAATACATGAACTTCAATTCACAATACAGATGCCTTCTAAGTCTATAAACCCTCTGAAACAGAATTAATACAATCAAATATAGAAGCAAACCTTCAAAGAGCACTAATTCTGCTGATGCATTTTTCTAATAGCAAGACTTCATTATAAGCAAACACTTATTACAGTCATAATTATCGTAACACATATGAACAAACTTGAACTGTTCTTCCTTCAGCATTAAGTCTGGGTTGCTGAGAGCTGTCTACGATCACAGCCAGGAGAATTAGGCATACAAATTTCCCCAGGGGAAGCCTAGGGCCCTGGTTCACTTTGGCACAGGGTGGAGTTCTTCAGTCCACATTCTGTGAAGGATTCAAATCCATCAGGATTTGGCCTTGACAGGGAGATGTCAGTGGTCAAAATCTTCCCATTTTTTCTCTTCCTGAGGAGACATCACCTTTATGTTATCATTAAAATATTTGGCCAATTACAATCAAAGCTGCAGCTCAGCATCAGGACTCACTAGCTTGAAGAGCCTTCATCTGCGCAGGCAGATTACCAGCTACAAGATTAAATTCAGGCCTGTAGCACTAAATATCAAGCCCATCCCATGAGGATGTAATGCAAAATCCCTGCTTATTGCACTTCTCATGTCTCTATTACAGACTCCTCCCACATCCTGTGGAAACGCTCATATATTTCACGAGCCATCCACTTCTGCATTTTCATTTCCTCCACTGGCTTTCATGCTCTTTAAAACCTACTTCTCCCACAGGCATAACGCTGCCATCCCACTGTGCAAGCTGCATCAGCCAGGGCTGGTGAAAGGCTCTGTGTGGTGGCACCAGCAGATGTGCCCCAAACCCTGTCCCTAGGCAGTGCTACACCATCACCACCACATCAGCACTGTGCCCTCTGCATAGAGCAGCCTCGACAGCTGCCTCTGGCACTGCACATACCTCACCTCAGTCTGTACAACCCTGAAAGCAAAATGACTACAGGGGCCCAAGTACACATATGATGCTGTGCAGTCAGAATACAAACATACTTCTCCAGCACCTACTCTACAATCCCCAGCCACAGCAGCAGGATCAACAGAGCCAGCTCTAGCAGGTATGAAAATTGCTGTCTTTGGGCATGAATCACCTGGTCAGCAAGGCATGAATAAGCTCATTGCTACAGCAGCTCTTAAGGGGGGAAGGCTCTCCCCAGGGATAACATGAATTCTGCAGATAATTCTCATCTGACGGCAGTCAGATCCATCTCAGATTGATGGTTCCCTGGATGTCTCCTATCACTCTATTCCTCAATTTCACGTACTTTGGTTTCCTGATCTGATTATAATGGTATTCTCTAGCCCTAAACCAAATCTTGGGTTTAGGCCACACAAAGAAGTTAGTGCGTATTTTTCAAAGGAATTAATTAAGGAGATTCCTTTCTGAGCAAACAGACTGAAGCCTGCTCTGCGTTTGCTCCCACCGCAGCTAAAACCATTCCATCTTGTCCAAACTCCTTAGTCACAGCAGGTAAGTTACAACTAGAAAGAGATGCTAGTTGTAAGGGGCAAGACTTCAATCAATTCCCTTGGTTACAGCATGAAGCACTTCATCCCCAGCAAGGCCACAGGCAGAGCTGGGCTGCTTGTGGAATAATCACTGCAAGGAAGGATGCGGAACAAAAGCATAAATAAGGAAAATGACGGCAAGTGGCCATAGTGATTTATGAATATCACATCCACTCCTTCCTCTGCTGATATACTGAGGAATTATGATTTAAAACAGGTGTGACACTATGGCCCAAAATGTGCTTTAAATACATTCATTTATGGAGAGATGCAACAATTAATTAACTAAAGTAAGAAAATCTTTGCAACAGCAAAGATAACCCTCAAGAGCAGTACCCAGTGCTTTTTGTTACATACATTGTCATGGCTCCAACACACAGGCAAAAATGCTAATTCTTCTTTAACACCCTTATTTCCCTGCAGATCTCTGTTTACATTAAGGAAAACAGATCTAATTTTTTATATGCTAAACCAGTGAAACAAATTGCCCTGAGAAAGAAAGGGGGGTCCTGCTGAGCATGTAAATATGTGGCAAGACATATGAACTCTTGACAAACTGGCAAAATCCCCAGTTTTTGCATCGAGTAACATAAAAAAAAAAAAAAACAACAAAAACAACAGAATATTAAGATTTCTGAAACTCTTAAGCAGGACTAAAAAAACTACAACCAGTTATATTTCTACCCTGAAAAAGCTGAAGTCAGTAGAATATTCAAGCATGCAGAAAGCAAAGTAAGGCATTTGTTGGCTTTCATTATGATCAATAAAAATTGTCAGCTCATTAGCATATCATTAGCTACCCTGCTGCTTCCAAAGTGTTAACACATATAAATATTAATTTACAAACATAGACTATCCCAGAGTTGTGAGGCTCTGACTGCAGAAAGTAAGAATTTAAGATGGGCAAACCCAGTAGAACTTCTTTTTTTCCCCTCTGGAGCCATAAACAGATGTTTGCCATCTGTGGGATTATGGGGAGCAGCTGAGGTAAAAAAACAACAGCTGTAGAGTAAAATAATACTATGGATTTCACTGACAGTGACAGCTCAGTTGCTGGAGGATGGAACGGGCTCCAGGTTCAGAGCAACTCTCAGACCCTCAAAAAGGCTAAAGATTACCTTCGACCTCGGTTTCACCATTAAAACTATTACTTGCTGTGTTATAAACAACTTCAGCATAAAATAACTCTCCCTACTGTTGAAATCTGGGGGCTTCAAGGAGAGCTCCTCAGACAAACAGCAACTTGGAAAATTGCCTCATGAACTGACAGCTCCAAAGGAGAACAGAGTGGATGGTAAATCACCCTGCCAACAAATCCATGCCAGTACCAAGGCCGGGCAGATCGGCCATCGCTGCACTACAGACTCTCTCACTGAGCATTGCTGGCACTGTGGCTTGGTACCCAAAATGGGAAGAAACATCAGAAACTTTTCTATAGCTTGGTCACAAATTAAAAGAATTAATTTTCAGGTGAAGGGGGTGTGTTATGTTGGTGGATTTTGTTGGTTCATTGGTTCAGCAATTCAGCCTCCACCAGAAAAGCATAGAGTGAATGAAAGAAAATATACAAGACAGAGCTTTTCAAGATGGAGTTAATTTCTTTGTCCTTTGCATTCTGGAAATATATTGCCATTACCTGAATCCTCTTTTTCATCTGAAAAGTTCTTCATGCTCATACTGGCCTACTCGATAATGATTTGGGGAGCCTTCTAGATGGAAAAAGATAGGCTCTTTGGCTAGAAGGTAGAAGCAGCTCAAGTCCCACCAGCCAGCTAGCCTGCCAGCCAAGGCTGCCTGGAAGCAAGGGAAGTTCCCAAGGACAAAGAAGCTCATGAACAAAACTCAGTAACCCTCTATTCACTCTCCATCAAGAAACACAATGACACACTTAGTCCAGAAAAACAAAAACAAAGAAAGGAATGTACTCCAGGAACAAAAAAATCTACTGCTTTGCAGCAAGGCAAATGCACTCAATACAATAGCTGGCATCCACCAAAGCTAGAAGGCTTGCAGACCAGAAGACCTTTGTTCTAGAAGTCAATGCTGATAGGAGCAAACAAGCAAAGAGTCATCTGAGGCAAACAGCAGAAGGGTGAGGGTATTCTGCATGTGAAACCAAGAAGAAAATGGCCTCCAAAATTGATTAAATCCACCACTCTCTCGGCAGCAGAGCACAGCAAAGCTGTTGTTTCCTGAAGGTTTAAAGACGAAAGCCAAGAATAGACACTGGCTCTGCCTGGGCAGTCTTGTTCCATCCCAAGGAGTGGCAAGACAGAGCACAACAGGGAGGTGAAACCTTCAGAACGGAAACCAAACAAAACCCCTAAGTACTGGGCACTGCATCAGTGACTATGATACTCTCTCCCTTCTCTTCAAGTGTTGGACCTGTCTCAAATCCCAAGTCCACAGTTTCTACTAAAATTCATACAAATCATATTTCAGGAGCCTAAGACAACTAAACAGAAACATCCTGTGGACTGTTAATTCCTTCTTCGTGCGCCATTTTCTGTTTGCTTACCTTAAAGAATCCATGCTTCCTGTTTCTCTGTCCAAGCCATATACTGCTTTCTGGTGCTAGATTTGTTTCTGGGGGATCAATGATACGTTCATAAATCCTGTAGAGGAAACACACTGCCATTACTCAAATCCTCTTTTTCCTCTGAAGAGTTCCTAGTCACAATCAGTTAACAGTAAAAGATGGAAAGTAGTACCAAAACAGAAAAAAAATATTTTTTTTAAAACACAGTATTTATCACCGACAGTTATGAAGCCATATTGCAACTTAAAAAGCAAAAAGGAAAAAAACCAATAAACCTATCCATTCTACAAAAAGGGTGTAGTCACCTTTCTAAGATCCAACCAGAGAAACAACCCTTTGGGATTTTCAGACTGTTTAGGATTTGGAATAAACTTCACAAGGAACCTTTATTCCACCTCTCCTCCCCCGCCCTTTTTCTCTCTACATTTGTACCCAGACCTTTTGTTTTATGCACCTCTCCTGTTTGCTGCTATTACTACATTCACTACATTGCTCTAGTGTATTGCCACTACAGCACATCCAGTTTGCCATGTCACCAGCACAGGTCTGCTACAGAATGAGACCTCTACAGTCAAGAGCCACAGAGATGCTGCAAGGGCTGGAGCAGCTCTGCTCTGGAGACAGGCTGAGAGAGCTGGGCTGGTTCAGCCTGGAGAAGAGAAGGTTCCAGGGAGACCTTAGAGCAGCCCCCAGTGCCTCAAGGGGCTACAAGAAACTTGGAGAGGGGCTTTTCATGAGGGCCTGTAGGGACAGGACAAGGGGGAATGGCTTTAACCTGACAGAGGTCAAACTGAGATGAGCTCTTAGGCAGAAGTTCTTCCCTGTGAGGGTGCTGAGGCACTGGCACAGGTTGCCCAGAGAAGCTGTGGCTGCCCCATCCCTGGCAGTGTTCAAGGCCAGGTTGGACAGGGCTTGGAGCAACCTGGTCTAGTGAATGTGTCCCTGCCCACAACAGGGGGTTCCAAACCATTCTGTGATTCTATATGTTTGGTAATTAGCAATACAAGGGCATTTTCCTGGTTATTCCTCAAGGAACTGGCAATAACAGCAATAAGAAATAACAGTGACAAGTAACATGAGGTCCGTAAGCAAACTTTGTGTACTGCATAAACTTGCAGATAAATGCAGTAATCTACACACCAAGTTTCTAAAATTAATTACCAAAAGACTGCTGTAACAGCATTTTTAAATTCACAAATACAAGTACCTGGAGTTTTTAAAAAGTTTGCTTGGATTTTTTTATTTGTTTATTTTTTTAGGAAAGCTGTAATATAGTTTCGATAATACCTTTTTCAGGAACTCAGACCACTACAACAGCGGTATAATCATATTAGAATACCGAAACTTCCAGACTGAAGTTACTTCCCCTGAACTCTCATTTTGCCATGTAACACCAATGGGAACCATGAACTTACTTCTTCATAACAGAAGCAGCATGCTTAGTAGGGATTACTGAAATACATTTCCACTGCTATCCAGCTCACAAGGAGTATGCATTGCTGTGCAGTCACACCAGCAGGACAGCCAATGGGAAAGACTAGGAATGTGTCAAGATCTGCAGCTTAGAGGGCTGAAATTATCTGTATGTTTAAAAGGGGTGAAATTATTTTACTTCTTTCTTTAAAGCTATGGCTTTAAAACAAACGGAAAATGAACACCACAGTAAAATACAAGTCAACCAACACAACCTATTGCATATTTTCCCTTTTACACTCCAAGTGTTTCTAGCCCAAGCTCACCAAGTGTAATCACTGAATTCCATGTTCTAAATTGCCACATATATTGGGTCTGCACGGCAAGGTTTTGGTAAGGGGGAAACTACAGGGTCTGGGGAAGGTGTTTTAAGGTTTGGGTTTATTTCTCATTAGCCTACTCTGATTTGATTGGTAATAAATTAAACTCAAATTGAGTCTCTTTCGCCTATGGCAGTAACTGGTGAGTGATCTCTTCCTGTCCTTATCTCAACCCATGAGATTTTCATTCCATTTTCTCTCCCCTGTCCGGTTGAGGAGGAGGAGAGATAGTGGTGGTGTCCAGCCACGGTCAAATATACCACACCATGTTATTCTACAATTCATACATTTGCAAAGGCCTAGAAAAACTTCCAGTGTTCAAGAACGTCAAGAAAGCTCTATAAAAGTGTTTATGTCAAAGGACAAAGTGTCAGATATTCCAGCCACTTCTGCTTATTCAGAAAAGAAGGAAACCATTTCTCAAACCCAATGGAAACAATGTAAAAAGCTAGAAGCAAACTTACTATTTCCTTAAAAAAAATAAAAATGAAAAAAACCAAACCAAAACAAAAAAACCACAGCAACAGAAAACCCAAGAACAAAACAGTTACATGAAAATTCCAGCTTGAGAGTTAGTACAGGAGTCCAAAGGTGTCTTCTAGACTCATGATCTTATTGCTTAAGTTAATTATAATCATCATCAGCCATAGTTCATCACATTTCATCAACACGACACATTCAAAGCTATGGGAAATTTCTGTTTCTGCTAGTTAATCACTTCTGACTATGTAAAACTACCATGCTGAGCTGCTTTACCTGTTCACGCAACAAAACAAGACTACATTCTTTTAAACCATGCTTTGAGAATTAGAGGAATTTTGCATGCATCATCTCTATTAATATTGTAAAGCTGAAATAGACCCTCACGGCCATACCTCATGCAGAATTGAAGATCTACTCAAATACAAAATTGCTGCAAAATGCTGAATGAGGAACAAAGAACTGACATTCTTCATGAGAAAACCACTCACGGAATTGCACTCTCATGCTAGGAATTTCTCTGTGGATGCATAGCAGCACATTTTTAGTCATGACTTACCTTAACAATGTTGTCACCAGAAAATTTCTCATCTCATAAAAAGACTCATCAATATTCTATGAACTCTATTTCTGCTAACGGATAAAATCCCAATGCTGACCAGGTTCGACAACATGAGTTATTGAGGAATATTTGATTTTTATTCACCTGGCCTTGTTACAGTTTATAAAGGAGCTCTACAATGTCTGTCTGCAATTATGTAGTAAAAAACCCAAATCTTAACTGACATTACTATACGGCAGTTCAACAACAGCAAGGAAGGAAAACACATCAGAGACAGGCCAAAGTGGTTTATCCTGCCCTTTCTGAGGATTTAACAAAGACTTTCAAGCTATATGAAAAAGGCTGTAGCAACCTTCCTCCCAGATTCTCTGCAGAAAGTGCCATTCATAACACACGAGGTCCCCATATTCCACTACTGTTTTACTCTAATTCCTTTTCTGAAGCAGGGATTTATGTTAAATTAGAGGATTAATTAAAGGTTGGTTTGTGCCTTGCTCTGTATGTGTCTAAGAGACTGGTTGGTCTTCCTCTCCATAGATCTGCCCATCCATTAACAGGCTTAGGATTCAAGAGAATGCATGAGATGTATCTCAATCCTCGCTTGTTTTCCAAGGGAAAAAGATGTTTTAGTTGACACTATTTGGTTAGTGAACAATGCCAGCTTACTTTATTACTTTATACTGTTAAACATCAGCAGAAAAACCCCGACAAGTATACACAACAGCTTATCTCTATACTCTTGGGAAATGAAAAGGTCAAAAAGCGCATCCAAATTTGTAACAGACAAAAAGGAAAGAAAAAGGAATCACAAGGAATATGGTACACCATGTGCCACTTCTCTAATGAAGAAAAAGTAAAAATAAATAAATAAATACATAAATAAACACAAACCAGATCCCTGCATCTCCTGACAAAATGGGAGAGTGATACAAAAAATCCAAGGGACTTTTCCAGCAAGACTGGGGCTGCCACACAGCAGGAAAACAGCTACACAAAATAAAACTGGAACTACATGGAAGAAGCTTCTGAACTAGTCTGAGCAAAGAGACATGACAGTATTACTAACTCTCAATTAGAGACTGATAATTAAGAAATTTTTAAATTTAATAAATTTGAAATATAATTTAATATTTAATGAAGATGAAAACAAGCATTTTCAAGTATCAGCAAGCAGAGATTCACCACGACAGGCATTGCCTGTTGGTGGCAAGCAGAGATGACTGGTGTGCAGCTGGAGTAAAGCAGGAACTGGCCACAGCTCTTGGCCGAAGGTTCATGTCTGAAGTCACAAGAACATCAGAAACCCTGCAGCATTCCTACAGCAGGTTTCTGAGAAGGAGAGACTTCACAGATACTGAAGACACCACATTCATAAAACATGGTTAAGGTGGCACTTGCTATCTCAGTAGTTGAGAATAGGTTTCACCCAGACATCAGGGTTACCCATGGATATGCACCACATACAAGGCTACCAAGTATTACTGATCACTGAGGTGACTATTCAGGTGTTTCCCTCACCTAGAAAAACCCGCAAAGCACAAACATTTTATAATATATCTCAAAGGGTAATGAGAAAAGTTTGTACTTACAGGTGGAAATCTCTTACAACTATTGCTTGTGAAGTGAGAAAAAAAACCTTGCTCTGCTCCCCTTCCTCTGCCGGTTTTCTTTTGTGAGAAAAGAGGTGGTTTTCAGGCTGAAAAACTACTGTTGCTGAGCAGATACAAAAAGATCCTTCTTTTTTAACAGCTACATTAAGCTCCCACATCATTCTCATTCCTTTGCTTGATTTTTCTGGCCTGAGGTATGTCACTTTATATGGCTTTATTCATTCTTGGCCAATACTTTGTATTTGCCATATAAATAGTTAAATTGCATCTACTGTACTTCCAGGTTATGAAGTGCTGGTCTAGAGCTCCTTGGAGACCAGTTTCCAACACATTTGGCTTTGGTACCCACACAGGGAAATGCACAGTACACTTCACAAGAACAGGAATGCTTAGAAAGAGGGCTCCGGGGAACTGCACTCTCTAAAATCACTGCAGACTGAACAGCCCCTCCAGCATGAGAAGGCCCAGAGCTCCAGGTTAATGGAAGCTCTACTACAAGCTTCAGACTTTCAGATTTATGTTTACTGCATGCACTTTCAAGAGAAAGCTTGATTCGCTCCTACTTTATGCCAACATATTTCAACGAAGTTAAACCATAAACCTGGAGTAATACAGCCATGAACCTTCTTTC